ATTTTTTGTTGTCTTTATGTCTCGTACCGACGTTAGCTTTGCAATCGTTTGCATGATCAATAACACAGCGGTGGAAATGGTAACTACTGGTACCAATGGTACCAATGCAAGCAAGAAAACTGCAACATGCGCGCCACGGGATGAGAGCGAACTAAATGAAAGAGAAGCGGTATGTTTCTCTTTTCATTCAAACATTTTCAATTTAAAATTTCAATGAATATGTAATTGCAAATGAATGCGATTGAATCTTCCACTATTGAAAGCATTGGACCGAGAATCCAAATATTAATGAATGACACAGTAGTCATTCTGTTTCTTCTTGAAATGTTAGCTTACAGTATCTCTTATTATCAAAGTAAGGAAAAGTAAAAATGCGGAATGTTTAGGAACGTTTATGGTATTTGATTTTTTGATTATTTTCAGTATATGGGTGAACTTGTTTGGACAAAAGATGTACAAGGATATGTACTGAGTGCTTTCTTCTGGGGCTACATAAGTAGCCAAATCCTTGGTGGTTATTTGGCCAATCTCTACGGTGGTCGTTTAGTGATCGGTTTTACAGTTATGGGATGTGCAGTTCTTACTTTGATCAGTCCAGTAGCCGCAACAACTAGCGTTTTTGTATTCGTTATTGTGCGAGCTATCATAGGTTTTATGCAGGTACTATAATGGGCCTAGTAATTTATTGTCCTCATTTAGTTGAATCTGTCATTTTTCATAGGAAATTTGCAAATAACTTTTCAAAGTTTACATGATTTCTTTTAATTTTCCGTCGTAGGCCTCGTCTTTTCTTGACTTCATATATATTTCTGTTCTATTATCAGATACAGTTTTTCAGTTCATTAAATTTCATAATCTTCAATTTGTAGGGTGCCATATTTCCCGCATATCATGCGATGTGGTCCATGTGGGCGCCACCTTTGGAAAGAAGTCTATTAACCGGCATAACATATGCAGGTTTACTTATACTTGACCTTTTTCTCATACCATGACAGTAATTAAAGCTCCAAAAATTTAATTTCCAATTTATTCCAGAAATGGTTTCAAATTGAGTTTCAAATTGAGTGATACATTTCGCCAACTTTGATTATTAAGTAAATTTTATTACAGGTGCTCAAATAGGTAATACAGCGGTGATGCCATTGTCCGGTTTACTTTGTAAGTATGGATTTGCAGGTGGTTGGCCATCCATCTTTTACGTTATCGGCAAGTTTAAAAATCACATGTTTCAATATTTCCTGAAATTTGCCTGATTATAAATAATTTATATTTCAAGGAACCATTTCTGATATGATTTCCAAACATACTTTTTTAGGTACGGCCGGCGTTTTATGGTGTTTTCTTTGGTTCTTCTATGTTTCGGATCGACCGTCACATAGTAAACGTATTTCTAAGAAAGAGCTAAACTATATTGAAAATTCGTTAGCTGACATATTAGCACCGGATTCCAAGAAGGTAGTAATTTTCCGAAACACATTTCTTCAGAATTAGTTACCGAAATTTTGCAACCG